GTGAAGTGATTGTTTAATTAAGGGATAATTATTTCCCGGTGTGAATTATCCATGCATGATATAATTTTTATCAACATACGATGTACTTGACCCATATGCACAGGGACTCAATGGTGACTGGGTTAAATGGAAACATTGGTATGATTAAGTGATGGGATCATAGATAAATTCTGTCTTTCGTTTCCTGCTAAGTTTTTGTAATAAATTAAAATATATACACATATATGTATATATTTTAAAGATCCCATGCCTGGAAAAATATTCATGAATTTATCATCTTTATACATTGTATTTTAAGAAACATTTTGCTATGATGATGGTGAATAATAAATATCAAACGATAATGGAACTTTTATATCTGCCGTCTTATTTCATCTGTGCAAAATTAGCAGCCACAATGGGAACCACCATCTGGGAGGTGTTTTAAACAGTGCCATTTAAATGCCTTCTGGAATTTGACATGCGCAAATTATAAGAAAAGGTTTGGAGAGAATGGTCCATTTAAAAGGGAACAAAGTGTCTCAGTTTGGGCACAACTAGCAGTCCTTTAGGAGATATCTGGCATTCCCAGTGGGGAAGGGTGACACTTAAATCCAACTTCTGTAATGTACTCATAAATTTCATGTAGGCTTGGCACTCCACCCTCTCCAAGTCCCACCTTCATGTTGACCTTGATCTCCAGTTTTCTCTTTAAAACTGTTATCAAGGGGATTCCTGGGTGGCTCAGTGGTTTAGCGCCTGCCTTGGGCCAGGGCGTGATCCTGGAGTCCCGGGATGGAGTCCCACATTGGGCTCCCTGCATGGAGCCTGCTTCTCCCTCTGCCTGTATCTCTGCTTCTCTCTCTCTCTTGTCTCTCAGGAATAAATAAATAAAATCTTAAAAAAAAAAAAAAAAAACCTGTTACCAAAACCACTGGAAGCAGCATAAACAACCTTGAAGTGACAATAGGTGCCTGCATGTCCCTGCCTTTGCAAGCCATCCCCTCTCAAGGCCCAACTTAGGATGTGTTTGGAGCAATAGATGCCCTTCAAAATTGCTGTTGAAGATCCTAAGGTGTCCGAATCAGGCAGGACCTTCTGGGCCCTCCAGTGAGTGAGTCCTCGGTATAGTGTTTGTCAGCTCTCAATTCTAGTATTACTTAGAGTTAGCTGTTATATGTCTGCTTCCCCCACCAGATTGCTAGCTCTCTGAGGGCAGGGACTATGGTTCCTAGCCTTGTAACCCTGTGTCTAGCCATGGACTGAGAAATCAGTAGGCTTAGAGTAAATATTTGTTGCATCAAGGAGTTGAGTGGAAAAGCATCGATTTGGAAGCAAGCATACATGGAATCCAATTCTGGCTTTATCTACTGTGTGGTTTTGGGTGAGTTTCTGAACTTTTCTGAGCCTTAGTTTCCTAAAACAGGTTACCATAGCCAGTTGACGAGTTAGGAGGCTGATGATAGGAAATGTATGAAAAGCGTATTGTAGACTCTATGTACTCTCTGGTTCTTTGTCCATTAACATAACAGAGCTTTGCTTTGCATCAATGCTGCACCTCAGACCTGCGCTAGGTGCAGGAGAGCTGAAGAGATGAAGAGAGACAGGTTTCTCCCCTCGGGATGTGAGTAGTCGAACACTGTGATTGGTCTTCTAAGTTATTTGGGGGATTTTTGTTATCAGGCCTAAACTTAGGGTGGATCACTGAATGCACGGATTGGTTTCATGCCCCTTGTTTCCTCTGCATGGGCCTCCTTACCCTAAATAAGAGAGAGTGCCTGGTTGTCCAGTGCTCCTCTTCTTCTGGGTACACTGTCAGCAGTATTGTAAAGTCTTTGTTCTCTCCCGCATTGCTAATACTCAGGAATATTTCACAATTATGGAAGTGATGATGTCATACCCCCCAGCGGAATAAGAATCAGCAAAGCCTTCCATCCTAAAATTACAATGTAGCATACTTTGTTTTTACAATTAGATAACTATTCTTTATGAGGAAAGGCAGTTAATTGAAGTCAGCCACAGGGAGAGTGAATTCAGATGTTTTCTAGGGCACTGAAAAGTATATCCGATGGGACTCTCTGCTCACTGTGAGAAGTGAGCTGATTAGCAAACCCAAAGATTTGTTAGAACAATCAACTCCTTTCTAAATATTCTTCAAACCTACATTAAGCAAGTGAGGGAGGGAAAGTGGTACTTTTCTTAAAGGGAGTGCCCAGTGTCAAGCTCATGATTGCCTATGTTAATGAGATGATGGAAAAATCCTAGCATTTGGGTAGTTTTTAAAAACCCATTTAACTTTGACTTCAACATACATAGTTAATATTTGGCAGTGTTAGGGTGCAAGCATTTTTCCCCCATGTATATTATCTGTTAAATGGTAGGAAGGTAGGTGTGTGTGTGTGTGTGTGTGTGTGTGTGTCTAGTGAGCATGCATATATATGAGTACATGTGTTCATGGGCATGCAGTGTTTATAGATTCACAATTTCTAAGCACAAAAGGGAAAACACTACTAACTAGTAAGCATTGTTTCTCAATTAAGTATTGTGTTGGTAAATCATTGATCCTATGTGCCATTGATTAAAGGCTCTCTTGTCTTGAGTTAAGACAGAAGTTTGTTATTTAATCAAATATTTTAAGTTCCTACTATGAGAAAAACATTATGCTGAGGATGAGGCAGAGGTGCAGCTAGTCTTGACTTTTGGATGTTTGAAGGTTTTCAGGAATCCTCAAAGTCTGGGCAATTTCATTTCTATTAGAAGTAACATGAATCCTTTCAACTTTCACAGCATGCTGAACTGCCCCCCCCCCGCCCCGCCAAGCTTAGTTCTAGGCCCAATTTTCTTCTCTTCTCCCAAGATTTCACTTACTATCTAAAAATTCTGTCTCCCAAATGTATACCTCCAAACCACTCATCTGCTTTGATCACCAGACTCATGTCCCACATTGAATCTCTGCTTGGATGTAGATGGTACCTAAAATTCAGTGGGTTCAACTAAACCTGGCAGTGCCATCTAAATGAAGTTACCACTATCCATCCAGTTCCATGATACTTCCCTCTCCTTCATTCTCTACATCTAGTCCGCCATTATGTCATGCTGATTTTCTTTGTTAAAATTCTTTTAAATCCACACGCTCCCTCTCCTTGTCCATAGCTACCACTCTAGACTGTATCACCATGATCTTTTGCATGGATGACTGCAGTAGACCACCCCTTCCTCCCCTCTGGCTCATTTCCAATTCTCTTTTTCAAAATGCATATCTGATCAGGTTACCCCCTTTACATAAGACCATTTAGCAAGTTTCATTGCTCATAGACAAAAATCCAGACTCCTCAATGTGGTTTCTAAGACCTTCATGGCCCCTTAGATGTATATATTCCTTTTTTTTTAAAGATTTTATTTAGTTATTCATAGAGACACAGCTAGAGAGAGAGAGGCAGAGACACAGGCAGAGGGAGAAGCAGGCTCCATGCAGGGAGCCTGACGTGGGACTCGATCCCGGGTCTCCAGGATCACACCCTGGACTGCAGGCGGCGCTAAACTGCTGTGCCAATGGGGCTGCCCAGATGTATATATTCCAGATGAAGAGCCTGTAATAATCTTTTCCTGATTTCATACAGTTAACTTCTGGCTGCTTCCTAGACCTTACCCCAAGAGAAACTTCCACCAGAATCCATCCCCTAGCCCCTTAAACTGCCATAGTACAGTATACCTATCCCTCATAGCACTTACCACAATGTGCAGCTGTGCATTTAGTTGTACGATTACTGCTCATTGTCAATCCTCATAGGACTGTAGATCCACAAGAGTAAGGACCATATCTGTTTGCTCACTAGTGTATTCTTAGCAGGAGAGATAGCAAGAGCTTTGTTCTGAAGGATTTCCTAAGCCAAGTTAAGCTATTTGGAATTCATCTTAAAGGCAATGGAAAGCTTTTGATGGATTTTAAGCAGGGGAGCAATGTGATTACATGTACACTCTGGAAGAATCACTTTGGATGAGGTGTAGAGAAACCCAGACAAATACTCCTGAAACAGAACTGAGGCAAAGTCATAGTAATGGTGGGTCCTTGCTCTATTCTACTTTTCCTATCCTTCCTTTCTAAATCCAGTGAGATAGATTATCCGTAGTACCTCTCAGATTCTTGATCATCATCTAGTCATGTGAATATTGGTTGAGTTCCTAAATATATGCTTGACACTAGGAATAATAAAATACTTCAGACCAGATGTATATCCCTAGCCCACATCTTCCACACTAATGGGAAAGACTGTCCAATAAGTAGAATATATAATCCAGCGTGGAAAGTGCTGCAATGAGTTTGAATGATGAGTTCTCAAATGCAGAGGAAGGTATAACTAAAACGGTTCCCTGGTGAGGCCAGAAAATGCCTCACAGAGGAGGTGGCATGGGAACTAGGATGAAGTAGGTAGGAATGGTGGATTGTGTCAAGTAGAGACAAATGAAGGGGCATTGTAAGTGACTGGAACAGTATGTGCAAAGGCCCAGAGCTGTGAAAAAAGCACAGCATATTGGGGAATAGCTTTAGCTCTGTAGATTCACAGCTGTAGAGAGGATGTATGGGGATGGGGAAGGTGGTAGGAGATGGGAAAAGACAGGTACATGGGGGCCATATTGTACAGGGGCCTGGTGTTCTTAATTCAATATGAGTATTATCCTATGAGTTGCCAAGAATCACAGAACCATTCCTAATATCTCTGGGTTAAAAACCAATTCATAAGGGAGTACTTCATATGAAGGGTCTGATGGTTTATTAGGAAAACAGTAAGAGTAAGAACCAGTAAGAGTAATGATGTCCTGAACCCAAGAAACACAGGAATGATTATGGTCCTGAGAGAGGTAAACTGGGATCTGGGCCTCTAAGGGAAGAGAGGGCCATGGTTCTAAGGGAAAAGAGGGCCAGAGCAGGCTGGCCAGGGCCTGCCCCAAGGAGACTGAGTGCTGAGCCAGGCCATACTCTTGCATGCTCTGCCACAAGTGTCTGGGTTTGTGTTTTGCAGTTCCATGGAGAATGGGAGGCCTCCAGATCCTGCAGACTGGGCAGTGATGGATGTCGTCAACTATTTCCGAACAGCAGGATTTGAGGAGCAAGCTAGTGCTTTTCAGGAGCAGGTAAGTCAGTCTAGAGAAACACATGATGAACACAGTTACCTCTTCCCCCCAGCATGCAGAGGGAATGAGGAGGAAGAAGACCAGAGAGCAGTGAGGGATCTGTGAGACTCTGCATGTCCTCCACATCACACTCCAATCATACGGGGAAGGGAAGAAAACTAATGGCTCTTTCCTGAGAGAGGGAAACCCACACCCTGGGATACAGTTACAGCTGCAAGGAGGAGGGCAAAAGCTCATTTACATCTGCATCTTCTGAGAGATAGGACAGCCCTGCCTTCACCACAGACACACTGGAAAGCAGAAACAGAGGAGAAAGGGAAATGAGGAACAGGTCTGACTAGAAACATGCAGCACCATCTGCTACTGGCCCCAGCACCAACCAAGCTAGGAAGCCCCTCCAATTTGAGTTCCAGGTGCTTAGCCAGGTAGGGTGGACAAAGTACAGTCAAATCCTGGTTCTTCTAACTCTGTGTGACCCTGGGCAAGTTACTTTATCTCTCTGAGTCTTGCTTTCACCTCCATAACACGAGGCTATCAATGCCAACTTGATAGGGTGGTGTTGTGAGGATTAAGGGACTTTGTATGTATAGTGCCTGGGCTAGGTCCTGACACAGTATTGATGCCCTCAAAGTGTTAATTCCCTTTCCTCAGGTCCAGGGTTAGTATTGGAAAGAGAGAGGGAGGAGTAGTGGGGTCCCTCTCCATTGTCTAGGGGATTCCTGACTCCTATTTTTTTAGACTGGGCCAGCTCTATAGGGTTGGTGCTCAAGGACCTTCACCATGAGGAAGCAAACTGAGGGAGCATGTTGTGATCCACACCAGACCAGCTCTGTAGGAAAACAGAGATCCTATCTCCCTATCCCAAAGGCTGTAGTTTTCTAAGCATTAAATTTACTTTTCCAGTATTGTAATATAATTGATAGAATTGTAAATTGAAGAATGTATCTGACTGTTTCTCCCATATCAGTTTAGCCATCTCTGATTCTCTTAAACTGGGTTTGGCTAGCAGAGATTTTTAAATTAATTAATTAATTAATTAATTAATACATACATACATAAATAGAGAGAGAGAGAGAGAGAGGGAGAGACATATATATCTCAATCTCTAAACCACCTTCAATATTTTCTTCAAACCTGATCTCTCTTTCTCTCTCCCTCTCTTTATATATATATAGTTGTTGCTGTTGTTTCTTTGGAAAATTTATGGAAATAGCAGCTTAAATCACTTCACACCCACCAGAATAGCTGAAATTAGAAAGATTGATAAATTTAAATGTTTGTGAGAATGTGAAACAAACACATTCTTCTATATTATTGGTGGGGGATGTCAGATACTCACACATCTACCCCATGATCCAGAAGTTTCATTCCTGAGTATTTACCCAAGGGAAATGAAAACATATGTCTGCTAAAGATTTGTACAAAATTATTCTTAGTGGCTTTATTCATAATAGTCCAGACTGGAAGCCCAGTGTCCATCCCTGGGAGAATGTGGTATAGTCACACAATGGAATACCACCCAGTAATACAAAGGAACAAACTAGGGGCATCTTAGTCAGTTCAGCATCTGCCTTTGGCTCAGGTCATGATCCCAGGGCTGGGAGCTCGAGTCCTGTATCAGGCCCCCTGCTTTTCCCTCTGCTACTTCCCCTGCTTGTGCTCTCTGTCTCAAATAAATAAATAAAATCTTTAAACACACACACACACACACATACACAGGAACAAACTAGTAATACATAAAGCAGTTTGATGCATCTCAAAATATCACACTGAGTGAGAGAACCCCTTACACAGGAGTTCAGACTGAACACTTTCTGTCTTAATCCATTTGAACTGCTATAACAAATATTCTATAAACTGGGTGGCTTATAAGCAACAAACATTTATTTCTTACAGTTCCAGAGGCTGGGGATTCCAAGATAAAGAAGACTGCAGACTGGGTGTCTGGTCTGGGTGTCTGGTGAGGGCCTGCCTCCTAGACAGCTGTCTCTTTGCTGTGTCTTCACATGGAGGAAGGGGTGAGAGAGTTCTCTGGGGCTCCTTTCGTAAGGGCACTAATCTGTATAATCACCTCCTAAGACCTCCTAACACCATTACCAATTACCTCTAATACCCCCTGGAGAATACTTTTCAACATACGAATTTTGAGGAGACACTAACATTCAGACCATAGCAGTTTCATTTAGATGAAGGTTGAGAGCAGGAAAATGCATCATAGGTAGTGAGAATTAAAACGGTGGTTGCCTCTGGGTAGGTGGGAGTGGAGGATGGCTGGAAAGCAGCATGAAGGAACTTTCTGGGTGATGATAGCATTCTGTGTCTTGGTGAGGATTTGGGCTATATGTATATGCATCAGTAGATGCACTGCATATGCACTGGTTTATACCGATGTTGCAGATTTGTGTGTTACACAGTCTCTACATTTTAACTCAAAAGAACTATAAAAACTATTAAGCAATTAGTAGTATGCAAATAAACGTGTTTAGGGGAATATACTGATTTATACAACTTATTTTGAAATATCAAAATATGGTTTGGTAATTGGAGGAGGAATGAGTAGAGGGATAGACATGATAAAGCAACTAAGGAAAATGCTAATTGTGGACTCTTCATGGTGGTCATGTGGGTGTTCACTATATGTTCTTACAACTTTATGTTTGAAAATTTTTATAATAAAATCGTGGGGGAAAATAGCTCAGGTTGAAAGGTAAAGGCCTATCAGCTGGAACATATTTTATCTTAGTTTTTAATGGAGTAATATCCATTTGTGTCATTACAATTGAATAATTCTCTTCTAAAATTAAATTTAAATAATATTGTAAAAGGTTAACAACAACAACAAAAAAGGGTTTAGCTGAAAGGTCTCTTGGCCAAATTCCCAGCTTCCCAAAAGCATTTTTCAGATTGGGCTTTTACTCAGACTCCTCTGAGGCAGATGTCCCAGATTGAGGGGAGGGGGTGTCCTTTGGGCCTTCCAGATTCCGTGCAGGACCTCAGAATGGAGCTGGCCAGCTCTGAGCTTGGCCCAGAAGCGGGCCCTTTCTCCCAGGGATGACATCACTCTGGCATTAGAATACTGAGAAGCAAAAGGGAACAAACTTTCTAAAAGCATTTCATTCAGAAGTCCTTTAAGTGGGGAAAGGGCATCATGTTGCTACTGTGCTGAGCCCAACTCAGGAGCCTGAGAAGTGAATTCCCAAGGCACTGGTGTTTTGTAAGCATGGTCTAGAATCTCAAGCTCCTTCATTCTCATGGAAAGATGGTTGGGTGGAGGAGAGAGTTCATCTAAATTATTCCCTGAAAGTGATCCAAATCTTCCCCCTGCTATGTAATTCTCCGTGTCTTTCCTCTTCTCTTTAAAGGAGGTGGAGGAAGGGCAAGAAGGGGCCACTGGTCAGGTTCAGCCTGTTAAGACAAGTAGTCACTGTGATTTCCATGAGGACTAAGGAGCAGGATCCTTTACCATGTTACCCTGCCTCATGCCTTAGAAAGCTTCATGTTTCACCTTCAAGGATCTTCCTGTCAGTAAACCTCAAGTTCACCCTAGATGGGAGGACTGAGACCACCCCCAGCCTAAACATGTGACCCTTCCAGGCACATATTCCAATTCATGGTAGCTGAGAAACAATAAGAAAGACCTGAAATCTCCTCAGGGAAAGCTTTGGCCTGTCATTGGACAGAAGCAGGACAGGGCTGGAGGGTACCCCTACCCCACCTTGGAAAAGGGCAGGTCCAAAAAGGATAGTAGAACTGTCAATGTTGTGGGGAGCTTAGTTTCATGGCCAACCACAGTGGACAGAGTGTTTGTGCCCCACCCTCCAAATTCATATGTTGAAACCCTAACTCCCAATATGATGATACTAACATGAGGGCCTTGGGAGATCAGTCAGATTTAGATGAGGTCGTAAGTGTGGAGCCCTCGTGATGGGACTAGCACCCTGAAAAGAACTTTCTCTGCCATGTGAGCATGCAGCAAGAAGATAGCCACCTGTCAGCCAGAAAGGGCCTCACCAAGAGCCTGACCACACTGGCACTGTGAACTTGGACTTCCCAGCCTCCAGAACTGTCATCAGAACTTACAGCTAAGGGATCCCTGGGTGGCGCAGCGGTTTGGCGCCTGCCTTTGGCCCAGGGCGCGATCCTGGAGACCCGGGATCGAATCCCACGTCGGGCTCCCGGTGCATGGAGCCTGCTTCTCCCTCTGCCTGTGTCTCTGCCTCTCTCTCTCTCTCTCTGTGACTATCATAAATAAATAAAAAACCTTTAAAAAAAAAAAAAAAAAAAAGAACTTACAGCTAAGATAGTGACATTGATGCTAGACATGCCCACCCTTAGCTGGGCGGACTTTCAGGAGAATAGCTGTCTTTGTGGTGTGGTCTCACAGTACAATACTGGATAGTCTGTTGCTGTAGCAACCAGACACAGATGTGGCTTTCTAGTAGCATGCCTCCTTGGAAGATGTCAGGCCACTGAGCGAGGTTTGTCCAAAGGGCAGGAATGTTCCGATGTTCCTCTGGTATGAAACATCTGGTTAAGCTGGGGATCTTTGCATAATCTCCTTTTCTCTGTGCAGGCACACTGCCACATGACAGTGATTTCCAGTAAGTTTCCTTCTGGTGTAATGATCTGTATCAAGTTTTCTTCTGGAAAACCTCTTTTGAGCCTACTGTGTGAGCCACAACAATAAGCCAAAAGAACTGTCGAGAGGGAAGGTTTAAGCCCCTGCCCAGCCCCTTGCCCCACCCTCCATGGCCCAGTGTCAATAGTGTGTGTATTTCAAGTTGTTTTACTCTTCTGGCCAGTGATATCCCTCTTCCTTGGCTGGCTGACCTCGTTAGCATGGTGCTCCAGAGGGTTCACTGGCCAGTAAGAGCAGGAGGCAGTTGGAGTTCTTTCTAAAGGAGACAGTAATGACAACTCTGTCAGTACTCTCTTTCCCATGGGGTGGTGGCTGTTTTCTCAAGTGTCTTCTGGCGGACAGATCTCACATGCTGTGGTGC